AAATAATGAGTGCATTATGGAGAATCCAAATCTCAGAACTAAGTATAATAGCAGACTAGTTAAGCTACGTTTTAGAGAACCAGAAAGAAATTGGACATAAAGAGGAGGAAATTACTTTGTTTGGTATATTACTCGTGTTCATTATAAATATTTAACTAAAGACTGTCAAACCAATGCTGACCTTTCTACATACCCATGTTTTAAATGCTATATAAGAGCTCCTAAATGGAACACTCTTGCAAATATAATTTGAACTGATATGCTTTTTAGTTATAAAGTATTATTTTGATTTGAGAGAAGTAAAGATTCAGAAGTCAGAATGAAAAACAAAGGGAAAAATAATTAAATAGGATATCTATACCATATTGGAACAGCTATGAATATTTATTATAATTCTACATAACATTTCTGTCTTCTATTAGACTGAAGACTGCTTAAAAGCAAATAGTAAACTCTTCGTATTTACCACAAGTCCTGTTTGTTCAAGGACTAAATAGTAACTAATAAACATATGCTCTTATTAAAACTATGTTAACAATGCAGAAAAAGTAACATATTCATAATTGTACATAAGAAGAAACAGAGATGTCTATGCTTTACATCAGCACCATACACAGCCTGTTGACAAAAGCATACCATGCTATTCCACAGATGGTCCAGACTAGCTGGTTATGAAGCTAAACAAGTATAGACATTTTTACATTTCCAAGAATTGGCTAAAAATTACATTTTTTCCTTTAGTCTATGTAGATGCCACACACCCTAGTTTACTTAATTCAACTCCATATTTGAAAAACAGAAATGCAAAAGAAGAATGGTAACTGGATGCAAGTTGTATATTACAGAACTCAATTCTAGCTATGACTTGCCATTGTATGGACCAGCCTTGGTCTTTATGGTTAGATAAAAGTGACATTGAGAAGTCCTTTTCCAAACAACAGCAACCAAAAAGATTATATTTTGCATCTACTGTATCAATTCTTACATATTGGTTCAGTTTATTTTTTTCTTAAATATATCTAAAGAGAGAGATTGATTAATCTTGCCTTTTATAGACCAAATAATCTCATTTTTTAAACTTCATTATGCTGAAATTCTGGTAAATAAATGTGACTATAAAAATGAAGACTTTACTCATAGCATTACATATCAAAAATTTTGCCTGCAGTGTCAGAAAGACATTGATCAAAAGAGAAACATCACATTCCCAGCATAAAGATCATGCACTGAAGGCTGGTAATTCCAGGGACGTTTCTGTCATTCCTATACTTTTAAGCTTCTAAATTCTAGCATACAGGGCTACAAATCACATTTCCAATACTGTATCCTAGGGAAATCATTGGATTGCCCTTTCCTCTTAATTCAAGGGGAGACTATTGAACATTTCATTGTGAATGGAAATCATATCTATTGATCTTGTCCTCAGTACCTTCTCTAGGAACAGAACCCAGGGCATTTTCTGAAAAATTATTTTCATAAGATTTGGAAGATAGAAGAGTTGCTCTGTGACAGAGTATTGTAACTATTTTTTTATGCAAAGCATCATGTGCACATAAATTTGGGAGCATTCAGTTTTTATACCATTTTCAAAGAAATTCTCCACTAACAAAAATAATTGATAAATAGTCTTTGACAAAAGACCGCAAAACCTTTGGAATTGCTTGTATAATATGGAGAAGAACATGGTGCCAGGGCGGAAAATTATACTTGGTTTGCTTGGTATTCTACATACCATGCCTCTTATCCATGTAAAAACAATAAAATAGATTCTGTTATTCTTATTTTGTGTTTTATGAAAATGGGACACAGATAAATTAGATCACTTGCCTGGGGTCCCTCAATTTGTAAGTGATGGAACCAAGTCTCAATTCTATATTTTTTCCCATGAATATCTAGGTTCTTTCCAGAATGCAGTACAGCCAAACTGTGAGTTTGGGTGTAGCTACAGCAGGTCACTAAAGTCTCTCCACCATTATATTCAGGCCATTCTCCATCACATTTCCCTTTGGGGTCATTAATAACTAAAAGATACAAACTGCTGCCCAGGTGTACTTGCTTAGTATGTTGAAGAAGCTTCTATGTTTTTCTTCAAGTGAGATCACTTTTTAAGTTTAACTATTGATTTTCTTTAAAGGCAAACAGTATCATCAGACTATTTGTTCTTTTCCAGAGAGTGGGTCTTCAGGGGAATAAAGTGCCACCACTATACATAGACCATATCAAAGGGGAAACATAAAAGTTGATATTTTCTTTTTACTACTTGAGAGAAGTGCACAGGGGCAATTAAAATGCCTGAATCTCTGAGCACCAATCTATTTATTGTGGCTGATAATGGGCACAATGAGATGATGTGCTCTAATCCAAGGGTAGAGGCGATTTTAATAGTCTTTTAAGTGAAAACAAATAGTAAAGAAAAAAAAAGAAAAGAAAAAAAAAAGTCATGCAGGAGAGTTCCTCTTTGCAGGTGCTGGAGATGCACAAATCCCATTATTTGTTAATAGGATTTGTGCTGCTGCCTCCCCCTCATCACTTTGAAACTGCTTTCAGCTTTCCACTTGTCTCTCAGAAGCCGGCCTCCTGGGTGGTTGTCAGCGGGACATCCATCTGTTTCATGGCTTCTCTTTAAACAGAGTCAAAAAGATCACATAAAATGCGATTGGATATTTCCAGTCCTTATTAAAGAAGCAAGATAAGTACTATATAATTATGATGTAGGACTCAACCTTGTTTTATGCATTACCCACTCTCTTGACAAGTTGCCTGTAAAGTGCTTATTTGTTTAGTTAAAAGCGAAGCTTTATTTTTAGGGAATCCACACATTACTGAAGTGAAGCTGTCTGCCCTTGCCGCATCCCCTTTTTTTGTGTTACTCAGCATGATCTTGATGGTGGGAAATTGGGGTTAGTGAGGGACTGGACAGAAATGGCTAATAGAGAAATGGAAATCTGAAAGATGTGCTCTGTTAGTGTCCACTTTCACATATATTTGCCAAGGTGGCAGTTACTTTATTAAGAAAGTATCAGAGGATAGCTCCTAACTTCAGGTAAACAGAACAACCAATGATTTTGAAGGAAGAATTGGGTTATTCATTACGGTCAGCTTAGCATCCACCTAGTTTTTGGCGGTTCTCAGTTTTGCTTGTGCATTAGAATTACTGAAGGAATTTTTACAATACTGAGTATAGGGCTACTTCAAGATCAATCCAATTAGAATCTCTGATACTGGAACCCAGGCTTCAGTATTTTTGGTTCCCAGGTGATTCTAATGAGAATCCAAGGGTGAGACCAAGTGAGCTAAGCCCTAATATAAGTAACATAAATATGGATAGTTTCTTATGCATATCTTAAGAAATCAGGCCTCATGTCGTTCAGTTGCAGAACAATGCTGTTTCAAGAAAAACAGACCAGTAGCCATAAGTAATTCAAAATAAATTTTAGCTGGATCCAGTGACACATGCCTGTCATCCCAGTGACTCTGGAAGTTATGCAGGGAATTACAAGTTGAAGGTCACCCTAAGCAAATTAGTGAGACTCTGTCTCATAATAATAAAAAAAATGAAAAAGGCTTCAGATGATGCTCAGTGGTAGAGTGCCAATCTCAGTACCACAAAAATAAATAGGTCAATAAATAAATGCAATTCAACATTATGCATATATCTGAAGGTTATTATGAGGGATTTAAATACTGTTTCTTAAGAACTTTGCTGAAACATACCTTTCCTCCCCAACACATTCCCTCATGCTCCAAACTTTTCAGCAGCATTGTCTACCTCTTCCTGTCTACCCTCAGCACTTCATGCTTTCTGTTTTCTTTCTGCCTCTTTAGTCTTCATTACTTACCACATCCTTCCATTTAATATTTTATTAAGTAGATGGTATATAACCATCAAAAACTGATCCTTCCTCCTTGCGGGAGATGTGGTGTAAAATAAATCAGTTGGCCATTTTATTCCCTAGGAGAGCCCTTTCTTTTAGAATCCTAGTCCTGTTCATCATTCCCTGCTCTGCTTAGAAAGGCTTTCAAGAACTTTGAAATGAAACTTGGTCATCCCATTGCACTCCCTCTTCAAAATCTTGTGAGAAAGTGATGGATTTTAGGGAGCATCTTTAGCAGGCAATTCCCCATCAACATGGAATTTACCTGAGCCCCGTGATCCTGAAAAGAAGCTATGGATAAGAAATTACCCAACCCGGTTATGTTCTGCGAAGCAGCTAACCAGAGGGATCACCTTGCACTCCACTCACATATTCAAAGATAAAATTTCTCCCTACTCTTAGGAGAAGACTCAGTGTCCACGATTTCACAACACCCAGTCTTCCTGCCTATCTTTTTTTTTTTTTTTGGAAAACTGCAAATAAAAAGTTTAATTTCAGAAACTGAATCCATCATTTATAAATACACTAAAGCACAGTCCACTAGAATTGAGAGCGAGCAAAGGTACAGTATTCAACAGAAGAACAGCTTCCTAGGGGGCCATGGCAGAGGAGCATGTCGCCTCACCCACAGCACCCAGTGGTCTGAAGTGACATAGAACAGGAACCTTTTTCAGATGTTAAAGCAAACACTGACAACTGAATCTGACAACTGATAATTTCACTCTGATGTCCTGGGATTCTAAAATACCCCAGTGATGGCTGAATCTTCCCTATTATAAAAAAAAGAAAAATCTAAACGCTTAAGGCTAGCCTCACCACTGTAGCCTGCCAGACACCCCGTTGGTCACCACTGCCTTCAGGGCCAGGCCATGTCCCAGCACCTGGGTCAGTACACACAGAGCTCCACTGCTCAGGGACGCTCAGTCAGAGGCGCCAGACGCGGTCAACGGGCCGCCTGTTGCACTGCCACGCTCTGCACTGGCTGAATCCTTAGCATGGACACAGACGGGACTCTGATCTCAAGGAGTAGGACAGACAGTCAGGGACCTCTGAGTGAATGAACGGACCGTGCAACCCTGAATGCAAAGACCTGAAACGGAACGTGTGCATCTGCACACTCCGTGAGTCACCCAAGTACAGTTTTGTTTTCAAATGCTTTGTCTCTGTGGTAAACAGTTAGCTTCCAGAATATTCTCTCCACTCCTCGACACATTTTAGAGCCTGCAGTTAAAACTGCTCAGTCAGGATGGCTTAAGCTCCACCTCCTATTTACAGGTTTCATTTCACAGCCACAAAAGCTGTTTTGTTGCAATTAAAGCAATATTTAACTAAAATACAGTACCTGATTCATGGTTTTTACACAATTGAATAAAAAGCCTACAGGATAAAACTGTTTACATCTTATCTCCATTCTAGGAACACACATTTCTGACCCCTAACTTTTAAAAAATGCTGCAGTCATGAATTAAAACCTGGTCACCCCACTTCACAACCGATGAGACGGGCTGCTTCCAGTGGACTCTCAACAAGCTGCGCCCTGGCCCGACAGGAGTAAGGCACGTGTGACATTACGATGCGAGCCAGCGGGTGGCCCCAGATGCTGGCCTGGTGTCCCACCTGGCCCTGTTGGGCGGGTCACAGCCAGCACTGCCAAGAGCACGTCTGGTCTGGTGACTCCATCGTGAGTTCAATACTGAAAGTAGATCAAGGGAAGATTCACTTTCAAAAAGATAAATTTTTCAAAATGCTCCATCATGAGCCAGGGCTGGCCAAAGCTGCCATTCTCTGTGGGCGTGCTGAACAGCTTTTCCGAAGGGACGGTACTTGGGGGACAGCCCAAAAATCTGACAGCCAAAGTGGACAGCCCAGGCCAGGATGACCGCTTGAGGTTCCAATAGGCAAGTGGGTCACAGCTGTGCTCCAACACCTCCTCCTCCAGGTAGGCGAGCACCATGTCTTCTGGCAGCCTCTCCCGCCGTTCTCGCCCCTCCACCTTGGCCACCAGTGACCACAGGCTCTCCCCTCCGCCAGAATCTCTCGACTGGGGCCCTGAGTCACAGCCATCGGAGGCGGCTGTGTCCTCTGAGGTAGAATTCAGTATTTCTAGCTCCCTGATTAGATCCTGCCTGTACTGCTCCGCCTCCTCCTCCGTGAACAGGGAGGCTTTGTAGCGAGGGTCCAGCAGCGTGGCAAAGGCATACCTGGGGTCGTGGAGGGTGGCAGACAGGCGGCTCGCCATGGCTTCCTTCAGCGACTTCAGCATAGTATCGATGCCCATCGTCTCTCCAAAGAGCATCTCAACCTTCCTGCTGAGGATGTGGATCATGGGGATGACCTGGCTCAGAGTGGACACGTGGACACTCATCTCCCGGCTGGCAGCATCAAAGGGCCTCAGTGCGTGACACACGGACTGCATGACCTCCCACTGGTCGCAGCTGATCAGCTCTCTGAAGCTGCACTCGATGGACATCTCGTTAATGGCCCTCTTCTGCTCCAGCAGGCGCTCCAGCATGTGCAGGGACGTGCTCCACCTGGACGGCACGTCCTGGACAAGGTGGTGCTGTGGCAGCTCATACTCTCGCTGCAGCGCGGCCAACTTCTCCCTGGCCGTGGGAGAGCGCTGGACACGCTCACACAGCTTTCGGGCGGCGCTCAGTAGGCTCTGCACCATCCTCTGGCTCTTGATGGCTTCACTCACGATCAGGTCCACCGTGTGGCTGAAGCAGGGCAAGCTCGAGTGCTCTGCCTCAGTCAGAGTCTTGTCAGTGACCGTGATGCCCACCTGCAGGCCAATGGATGTCACCCAGGCTTCCCACCAGCACTCCAGCTGCTTCTGGATGCTGCCACCGCCATGGTCACAGTCAATCTGCGACACGTCCAGAAGTGCTGAGCAGTGGTGGCCCTCGCAGTGCGGGCGGGCCGCGGATGCGAAGGTGACCCAGTGGGCAGTGAGGGTCAGGTACTCACGGCTCTGGGTGCCCGTCCAGATTCCCGAGGTGAAGTGGACCATGCCACTCTCAGCCTCCCTCAGCTGGGACAGGACCATCTGCTTCACGCTGTCGTACATGCCTGGGATGGCCATGCTGCAGAAGTAGGAGGGCGTTCCTGCCTATCTTGAAGCTCACATTTTTCCTTTTCTTTGAGTGATTCCTCTTCATTGATGAACATCTCTCAATTGCAGTGCATTGAATATACTCATCTTCTTAATTGTCTGTTGGATTTTGTCTCTCACTTTACTCACTTCAATTAGTGTCTTTTGTTAAGAGAAGAAAAAGGGTGCTGGGGAAAATGAGTCACTTGGTATACCTCTTTTGTCTCCATAGAAACAAGAATAAGCCCATATTTTTTAAATACATTTTTATTTTGGAATAATTTTACCTTCACAGAAGATTTATAAAGATAATGGAGTTCCCATATACTGTCTTCTATTGTTAATACCTCTTGTTAACATAGGACCCTCCTCAAAACTAAGGAACTGACATTGATACATTACTATTAACTAAATACCAGACTGTATTTGAAGTCCACGAGTTTCTGTGAGAAACTGCCCACCATGGTAGCCTACTCACAAATTAATTTGGTATAATTTGGGTTTATTGACATGTTCTGCTACATTTGGTCAAGGTGATAGCAACAGCTTGACCACACACTCAGAAAATATCTCTTCCATCCTCATTTTCACAGGGTATGGCCAGTTACAGAGAGTCTTCCACTTCCAATATTGAACCATTTTCCACATTTACTTATTATTTTTTTCCTTTTTAGTGATTTTGTTTCTTTTTTGTTGTTGTTCTTTTTAGATATACATAATAGTAGAGTGTATTTTGACATATTATACATACATCGAGTATAACTTATTCTAATTAGGATCTCATTCTTGCTGTTGTACATAATGTGAAATTATACTGGTGATATATTCATATACGAATATAGGAAAGTTATGTCCAATTCATTCTACTGTCGTTTCTATTCCCCTCTCCCCTCCCTTCCCTTCATTCCTCTTTATCTAATCCAATGAACTTCTATTCTCTCCCCACCCCCATTGTGTGTTAGCATCTGCATATCAGAGAGAACACTCAGCCTTTTGTTTTTGGGGATTGGCTTATTTCACTTAGTGTGATAATCTCCAGTTCTATGCATTTACCTACAACTGCCATAATTCCATTCTTCTTTATGGCTGACTAATATTCCATTGTGTATATGTACCACATTTCTTTATCCATTCATCTGTTGGAGAGCACCTAGGTTGGTTCCACAGCTTAGCTATTGTGAATTGATGTGGCTGTGTCACTATAGTATGCTGATTTTAAGTCACATGGTATATACCAAGGAGTGTGTACCCTGACTGCTTTGCAGTCAACAAGGATGGGCAAATGTATCTAAGAAGACCACTTAGAAAGTCTCCCCATTTCCAAAACCTCATCATAATAAAATGTTTGCAATTTTTAATTCCTGATTACTTTTTTATTTCCTCATTTTAATCTCTAAAGTTCATTTTTCTTTCTAAAATTTTCGAATACATACGAACATGAAAATTGTAAAATTATGGCATATGTTCCTTTGCCTTTTTTTTTTTTTTTTTGGTAAGAGGGATTGAACCTAAGAGTGCTTAACCACTTACTACATCCCCAACCCCTTTTATTTATTTTTTTATTTTTTATTTTGAGGGTCTCAATGAGTTGCATAGGGCCTTACTAAGTTGCTGAGTCTGGCTTTGAACTTGTGATGCTCCTGCCTCAGTCTCCTGAGCTGCTGCCCTTGTCTAGCACAGGCAGGTGAACTAAGATTACTCTTATGAATTTAGGGTGATGCAAAATACTTTTTACATAAACTTCAGGATGGCTTCCCCATCTCCCAGCCTCAGGATCCCCAAAGGGAGGCAAGAGTAGGTCATGAGAGGCTGAGGGGAGAAAGAGAAGGGGGAGAGAGATAGAGAGAGAGAGAACACACATGCATGCACATGCAAGCACATTTGGAAGTGGGCTTTTATTTGAGAGGATTCTGTTTCTTAGAATGTTCTATCCAAAAAAGGCAGAAGGAGTAGGATTGCAAAGGAACAGGTGAGTGTAACTCAACCCCAGTGGGTGATGCCTTCACCTACAGCCATGCCTTGTTATTTGAGCTGGGGTAACACCCAAGTTACTGCAGAAGGCAATAATTGTTCAGTGCCCCCGGAGCATCAGAACTTAAAGGTGTGTTTATCCAGGCAGCTCCCCACACTGAGCCACCGGGATTACAGATATGCACCACACACCAGACGGGATGAACAGCTTTTCTAAATTCTGTTTTAGGCTTAGCTTTGATTTGGCATCATTAATATCCTTTTTGTATTTACGTTGGCTGGAGATTGCTATAGTTCTTGCATCTGAGGGTTAATATATTTCATTAATCATGAAGGTGTTTTACATTATTTTTTGCACATTTTTTTCCTCCATTCATTTTCTGTCTTTTCTGGGATATCAATTAAGCATGAATTATATCATTTATAAATTTCTCATCTTGGATACTTTTTCTACTATATGTCATTTTCTTTTTATGATTCCATTTGGGTTTATTGACATGTTCTGCTACATTTGGTCAGCTTCTGAGTGCTTTCATTGAGTTCTTCATTTCAGCATCTGAAATGTTTAGTCTGGATTTCCATTTGTTCTTTTTTAAAGCCTCCCCCTTTTCCTGCCTATGTTCCCCATCTGCTTACATTCTGGACACTTTTTGTACTAGATAATTAAATTGACTTAAAGTCCTACCAAATCCAACATCTGAATCATCACTGAGACTGTTTTCATTAATCTTTCTTTTTTATGAAGAGTCACATTTTTTCTGTTTATCTGCATGCCTTTCAAATTTGATTGTATGTGGAACAGAATGTATGATGCATGGCAGAGCTTCTTGGCTTTGTCCATAATTTTTTGTCCTAGTCCTCACTCTAGCTATACTTATTCTCATACATACTCTTTCTGCTAAACTGAACATCCAAATTATTTTTAAAAATCTATTTGTTTTCGACCTGATTTAACCTCTAGCATCTCTCCAGCAGTATGACCCTCTCAAATTTCTCTTATTTAAGCCCTCCAAAAGTTTTCATTGCCTTTAATTCAGGGAATCCTGCTCTGCAATTTACATAGAGGAGCATTTGGATAAGGACCTGCGGGAAGCCCTGGTGCAGATTTTAAGAAGGTTTTCCTTTCTAGTAATTTGCTCTGCAAATTATGATTCTCTTTTCTGATCCCAATTCCAGCTTCTTCCTCTGTCTGGGCTATATTTCTTTTGCCCAGTGCAAAAAGGTTTTGAATGGAATCTACCTCTTTGTTCCACAGTTTGGAAATCACTTCCAGTCAGAAAACAATGTTAAATACAGACTTCAACTTTAGGCTTCCTTTCTCTCAGGAATATCAGTTCTGCTCTTTTTTGATGCTCAACACCTAAAGAAAGTGGAATCATATACTTAATCCAATTTCATATCTGTATATGGTATAAGGATAAATCCAAATATTATAATGACTAAACTCAGAATTTCCTTTCTTTCTATTTTAATACAACATTAGTTTGCATGTTCACAATATGTTGTTGAAATTGTTTTCTGATTTTTTAATGTAATATCCACATAAAAGTTCTTTGTGTCTCCTTTAGAGGTGTTCTCTCTTCAAATCCTAATTTATCTGAAATTTTGAAAAATGTTATTCTACTGTATACATTGATTTATTTCAATTTCTATGTCTATTACTTCAGTTCCATAGATTATCTTCAAATATGTCTATTATTGTTGTTTCTGTTCATTATTCAAAATTCTATTCTCCTGTGATGACCGTTTTCATGTTTTTAAAATTTTTTGTATCTTTCTTATCTAAACTTTAAATCACTAAGTATTTCCCTCAGCTGATCTTCACAGTATAACTTCTTCTCGTAATTCATACCATAATCGATCTTAATTTTGTATTGAAATTTGGGTCTTCCTATAACATTGTGTTTGTATCAACTCTTCTCTTTTTTGCCTTTGCCTTAAACTCAGATTTTCTTTAATAAATATATGTCCTGTTTTCTAAAGCCAGGTCATCTTGAATTCAATTGAATATATAAATGATGAAAATGTATATTCTCGTTATTTCTAATTTAAATTGTATTCTTAGAATATGCTTGTTCTGAGTTTTATAAATGTTTCCATTTTCTGGAACTAAGTTCATCTTCATATATTATACTATGTTTTGTAACACATTGCTTTTCACCTCTGGATTAGCTTCCTAGAGCCCCTGTAACAAAATATCATAAACTGGACGGCGTAGAACAACATGTTTGTTTTTTTTTTAAATCACAATTCTGGAGGTTAGAATTCAAGACAACAATAGGGCCAAGCTCCCTTTGAGACTGAGGAGATCTGTTCTTGTTATTTCCTAGCTTCCTCTCCCTTGGCTTGTTGCTGCATTACCCCCATTTCAGTCTCCATTATCACATGATGATCTCCCCTGGTGGCTCTGTCCATCTCCTTATAAACTCTTCTATAAAAACAGGATCCCATCAGATGAAAGGCCCACACTTGTTCCAGTTTGACCTCACCTTAGCTAGTTACATCTGCAATGACAATTTTTACAAATAAGTTCATATTCTGCCAGGATCAGGACTTCAACATATCTTTTTATATGGTGGAGCACAATTCAACCCATTATGATTTCTAAATAAGGTATTTATGTATACACAGTTTCATTAAGATACAGGATAAGTAACATGTGTCCTTGGATTTGATCACTCATTTGGAATATTTGCCAGATGGCTTTAAGAGATAGTAATAAAATAAACTCACATTCTTTTATCAATGCAGCAAATCTGCATAACATAGCAAATAAAGTAGAGGAAAGCTTATGTGTTTACATAATATTGTAACATTTTATTATTTTCCCAACACCTTTTGTAGCAGATTTTGTTTAAAATATTGACACCTGATAATTCTGTAGCTTGTATTGCTAAGGTGCTAAGCTCTGGATGTGGTTCATACCCACAAGCTTTCATGGTAGAAGCTTCTCCCAGTGTGGCAATGTAAGAGGGGTGGGGACTTTTAGAGTTGCAGCAAAGTGGGAGGTCATTGAGGAGGCTGTCCCTGGAAGGGATTAAGGTAGTTCTTGTGGGACGCATGAGTTAGTTCTCAGAAGAGCAAGTTGTACTGAAAGATCAAGCCTGACCCCTAAATCAGGGTTTGTCTGAACTCATGATCTTTTCCTCTTGCATGTGTTCTCACCAAGAAGCCATCATCACTGGATGATGCAGTCAGGAGGTCCTCACCAGAGCTGATGCACTGTTGTTTTGGATTTTCATTCTCCAAAACTGTAAGCTAAATAAACTTCTTTTTTTTTTACAAGTTATTTAGCCTCAGGTATTTTGTTATAATGACAGAGGACTGATTAATTTACAAGGTTTTTTTGCAAGTCTATTTGTTGAGAGCAAGTTGATGAGCATAAATGTTGTTACCTGAATTGCAAGCATCTAGCAGACATTCATCCAGAGCAGATCCTCTTGATTGACATTTAGTTTTTTCCTGTCTTTTTATCTCTGAAATGATGAAACAG